TCAATAGTTTCTACTCGATTTTGCTTTTTTTACTTTAGGTTTTATTTTTCTCTTTTTCTGACTTCTTATGGTAGAAACTTAAATCATTGATCTCACATTTTCATTTTTAAATATAAGCATTTAAAACTATAAATTTCACTGTTATTCCTGCTTTATAAGTATATCTCATCAATTTTATGTTATATTTTTGTTATCAGTTCAAAATATTTTTTAATTTCTTGTGTGATTTATTTTTTAACCAAAGGACTTTTTAAAAGTATGTTATATAATTTCAATATTCAGGGATTTTTCATACATTGAATATAATTTTTTATGATCAATAATATTCAGCATATCATTTTAGTTTTTTTAAATTATATTGACACTTATGACTGATACCAGTTTTTACTCTTAGGCTCTTGATTAACCTAGTTAGGGTTTTGGTTATTGACTTGAGATTTAATAAGGACTACAGGGACATATGTCCCTAAATTGGTATGTAATATTAATGGAACCCAGTGTAGTGTTTTCGTTACTTGGTATCTCTCGCATCAGACTGATTTACACTTTGCATCCAGGAGTTATGGTTGTTTATGGACAACTTATGAAATTCCATGAAAATTTTTTCATATTGACTTCTCTGAGCAGTAGACCTTTTTGGAATAAAGTAATGTTTGTTTTCTATTTATGCCTTTTAATAGAGTATAATTCTTTGTAATACTTTTCTGCATTTTCAGTGCTAACAGTAAGGCTGATTTTCAGTATTTCATCATACATAGTGTACTGAGTAAGCATTCAAGTCACAGAGTCCTGAGTTGAAGTACAGTTCTTTACTTACAGCTTACGTTACCTTGGCCAAGTTACTTTACCTCCCTAAGCCTTAATTTTCTCATATGTAACTAGGGATAATAGTACTTTAGTAGAATTAAGTAAAATGTGCAGTTTTTAACAAAATTAAGATATATACCTATTCTATGTTGACTAGAAAAAAAAAATCCCAGCCTTTCAGTGTAGTGGATCTTTAATACTATCTATTTTGATGAAGAAAACAAAAACCTCGAATAGGGATGGAAGTGGGAAGTCCATGCTTTTCATCATGAATTAGAGGAACACAAGCAGATATTTTTATATTTTATTACTGTCCATGTGTATTACTTCTTTTTTCTTAAAAACAAAATATAATTTTTTAAAAAGTAACAAAACCGGGTTTTAGGTTTTAAGTTTTAAGTGTCTCAATTTTTGTACTTTAACATCAAACTGGAATTTTTTTTGTTGTATAGATCTTCTGTATACTGGACAAACAGTAGAAACGTATTCATTTGTTTAATGACATTGTTATACGGTGTTAAGAATTAAGTGTTTTATCAATTTGTAGAGCTATGCATATAACTTTATGGAATATGGAATTCAGTATTATTAAAACTAAGTTTTGATTATGACCTGAAGACCAGGATTAAATTGAAAGTTTAGAAGAGCTTTTAGAGATTTTGAGTAAGAATTAGATTGACTCCAAGTCATAATACTGATGTATTTTTTAATTTGGAAAAATACTTGCCTTATGAGAGCTCACATAATGTCTGTTTACTTTGCCATTGAGGCAGAATTTATTAGAATACAAACTACATCTCTTTTGGATTCCATATGTTGTTGTGAGACTTTTTTTTTTTGCCTTGATAATCATATTACCAGCAAATTGCCATAATTATTTTGGAATTATGTCAACTGTGATTTTTAAAGTTACATTAAGGTTAAATATATCTTAGAAAATCATTGGAACATGATTTTGGTGTCTATGAATATGAGGAAGAGGCTATGGCCCATTTTAATCTAAACTTTAGAAGAAAAAATGGAGGTTTAAATGGCATAATTTTATATTTGATAATGGGGAGAATTCTCTTGATGTTGGGAATTGTTAATGAAGTGCATTTTGAAAAATTCTTTTTTTGAGTGTTTCTTTCTGAAAATGTACTCACTCACTTGCCTGTTGCTTACTGGGGCATCTGATTTGTAAACTCTTGGATTATTAAAAGTATTGTTTGAAATTTAAAATTCTAACTAAGTACTTTTAAAATTTTTTTCTTTTAGGAGGAGCATATTATTTAATATCTAGAAGCCTAGGGCCAGAATTTGGTGGTGCAATTGGTCTTATTTTCGCTTTTGCCAATGCTGTTGCAGTTGCTATGTATGTGGTTGGATTCGCAGAAACTGTGGTGGAGTTGCTTAAGGTAATCACCTTTCTCTCAGTCTTTTGTTTACCAAGTCTTCTTTGAGGGCTTATGTGCCACTCACCATGTAGCAGTTAGGAAAGCAGTGATGTGCTGACCAAGAAACTCATGCTTCAAAAAGTTTAGTATGGGAGATAGACAAAGAAAAACAAATATACAATAGAATCAGCAGTGGCAACACAAAGGGGAACACTTAATTTGCTCTTCAAGAATGGGGGTTGCAGGGGAGTCAAGGAAACCTTTTTCATGGAAAGGAGTCTAGATGTTAGTAGGCAAATTGGAAAGGTAGGGTGGCATGAGGGGAATAGGGAAGATAAGGAAATAAAGGCCTGGAGAGGGTGTAGTTAAGAAAACTATAAATATTTCAGTGTGATTGGTACAGAAAGGGCCAAGACTTCTAAGACTAGAGAAAAAAAGAAGAATGAAGTCAAGAAGTGTCTTGTTAGCAGTTAAGTTTGGGTCTTATCTTGATTGGAATTGGGAGCCATGACGTGCCCAAATTTAGGGCCTAGAGACATCTGTCCATGGTACAGAGAATGGATTTGAGGAAGCACAACTGGAAACGGAGACCTTTTAACTGATTGCTGTAGCTGTCCTGGGAGAGGAAATGGTGGCTTATGTTAAAACAGCAACCTCTGGAGCTGGAGAGATGTAGGTGAATTTGAGAGATTTTAAAGAAGTTAAATGAGTAGACTTGATAATTTCTGGTGTATAGGAAATTAGAGAAGGAAAAAAGGAGGATTTCATGTTTATAGGCGTATTTCTGAATTAGGGATTTAAATGGAAGCTAATGCTATTTACTGTGAGGCAGAGAACGCAGTATATTTTCGTTTGTGGATATGCTAACTAGGGGAACCAGAAGGATATCCAAATGGAGCTCGCTAGAGTGTAATTAAAGAAGAGTGAAATAGGATTCCTCAGTTATTATTCAATGAGAGGAACCTTGAGTTCATGTTAGGCTGGGTTGTAACTGTTCTTCTGCAGTAGTATATGGTACTTTAGAAAGAATAAAATCTGTGTAGGCCAAAGGAACAGAGAAAAGGGAGGGCTATAATATAATAAGCAATATAATCATTAAAGTTTACATTCTTTCATTGTTTAATTTAGTGTATGTTTTTATTTGACACAGTTAAGAATCAACACTGAATTATCAGATGAATTAAGGTTTAGAAATATTTTTATTTCATAAAAAATTAAATTTAGAGACATCTAACCAAATTTGAAACAAATGTTTCAAACAAGATTTAATATATCAAAATTGCGCTGTATGTGTAGCATTCTGTTGAAATCATGGTCCATGAATATAAAAACCAATCAATAGATATTTACACTACTGTCATTTTTTTCTTCTGCAAGTAGTTCTCAGGTATGATTAGCCAAATGCTGTAGAGAATGTCAGTAATTCAAGAGATGTCAAAATTGAATTTCAGAAAAATCTGTATTTTTTTTTTGCAAAGTAAAAAGTACATACTGGCAACCCCCTCACATCCCCTCCCACTGTGGGAGCTTTTCTGTCCTGTCAATAAATCCTGCTTTCAAAAAAAAAAAAAGTGCCTACTGATTTGTGGTTTCAAGATAAATCTGGGAAATGGCTTTTCCTACAATATTGGTTAAATATTAGCACTTTCTGTACTTTTTGGTGGCAAGAATATCTTTGGATCTGGAATTTTTATCCCTAATTTTTGTATTAAGCTCACTTATTTGGAGTTCAAGCAAATTTTCTTCCCTGTGTGGTTGACTTTTATGAAGGGTTTTTTTTTCTTTAAAGAGTTAGCAAGATTACTTTTTGTTTTAAAAGGAGAAATTTCTTAGGATCATTTTAATCTTCTATGCTTTTTCTAGTTGTAATACGATATAGTCATCCTGAATTACAAAAAAATGATATTTTAGTTTTTTATGCACTTTATTACCTTATTTGAGTAGTGGTAGTGATTCATAAATAGCTATTTACTTAGTTGACTGGGATATGACAATTCTTAGCTAATTTTAACCTAGGTGGAAATCTTTTTAAAATGTCATTGGTATTAAGCTAAAAATCATTTTACTTGCAGAGTGGGGAGAGCGTGTGTTATTGGTCAACAGCAGGAAGGTGTACTTATCACTTTTCCCCTTGCAGTATAAAAAAAACAGTAAAAGCACTAATCACAATGAATACAAAGTATATTTCTGCTAACTTAAAAAAAGAAACTAGCAATGCTACTTAGTCATTATAATTTTTTTACTTGCTTATTAGCAATACTTTTTTGATTTATTGATTCTATATTAAGTATAGCAGTATTAATAATTTAAACATACATGTGACATCATCAGATATTTGAATGACACCTCAGTGGTAAATAGTAATTCTTTTTCTTTAGGTCTTTCATTCATTCCTTAAATAAGAATTTATTCAACTTCTACATGTAAGGCACCATGATATATCTAGAATGTTTCAAAACATTTGAGAGTTTGAGCCAGGCTCGGTGGCTCAGCCTATAATCCCGTGCCTTTGGGAGGCTGAGGTGAGTGGATTGCCTGAGCCTGCGGGTTCGAGACCCTCCTGGGCAGGCAAGACCTCATCTCTACAGTAAAATCAAAAAATTAGCCGGGCGTGG